ACATTATTATGTACACATAAACTCTATAAATTATAACTTAGTGTAACGAGGAGTGTGTGGTCTTTCCTGGATATACTTTCTTAACTTTCATTTTACCACAAGTTCTTCCAACATACGCCAATATATCTCTTTCGTGTTTTGGCCATACTCTATTTTCTATCGTTGATAAAAAGGAACAAAGTAGATTTAAATCTTTCCCTGATAGGTCGGAAGATGTTTCTTCGAGACACGATCGATAAAGAAAGTCATAGATTGCTCTATGGAAAAAAAGAAGCAATATTATTAATATTAGTGAGTCTGTATAATTAATGCTATAGTTGAACGACGAAAGATATTATTATATAATGTAATGAAATGGATACCTAAAATCATATCCAGCTGCTTCTATCGGTGATGGATGATCTTCGAATAAGAGTATAAATAATAATGCTTCCGGTATTAGACTATCTCCAGGTTCATATATACCAGAATCCAACCATTTGCATAACGACTCATTTTCAGGTGAATTATTTGCTAAATTTGAATATTCTTGTATTTTTAACGTAATATTTTCAGAAGATACGTGTGGTAACATTTCTGATATCGCATTAATATTTTCAGCTCCATGCTTTTTAAGAGCTTCTAATAATCTTTGTTTATCCATATTACTCCAGTCATGTTTTTGTTTCTCCTTATATTCTTTTTCACTTTGATTATTTTTTTGCCGTTTATTTTTTTGTAATCTTTTCCTTCTATAATCCATTTTTGCATAGAATGATAAGAAACAATCGTTTCTTTTAAAAAACCTTCCTTGTACGCATTATTAATAATAAGTATCAACGATCTTTTTTCAAACGACACGATGCAAGGATAATTTCACAATATTGTAGACGTAAGGTAAAAGTTTCATATATAACGATATATTCAAAACCAATGGTTTACGTGCGTTTTTTTACATTTTTTTTTATGAATTTGAAAACTTTAGTACCATTACTTTGGCATCGGAAGACCATGAACTCTGCTCAGTCTCAGCTCTCTCTTTTTGGCTCTTTCTCCGTTCACCGTCCTCATCAGATCTCTCACTGACAGCTGAGCTCAGCTGTTAGGATTTAGCCATCCCGGGCTCAGGGGGGAAAAACTCTATAGAGAACACAAAGTAATTCTTCGGTAAGAGTCGTACAGCACGCTTTATGCATTATTTCAGAAATTTCGTATTATTATTGAAAGTCTCTTATAAAAAGTCCTCTCACAAAAGTCCCTAGGCGTTTCAAAAAAGTTTTTTTTTCATATTTCTTGAAAAGGATAAGTGAACAATTAAAACTAATTGGTGACCAATTATGAGAAATTAAAGAGCAATTTTCTGAGCTATGTTTCATTAATATTGAGTCAGCTTCACACGAGACATACTTCAAGTCTTGGTTTCGGGTAAATTTTCTAAACTCTTGTCTATATTGTACACACGATGTTATACATAATATGGTTAAGCCTAAGGCATATACAAGTTGTATGGCAACGACCGCGTCTATGCATCGAATGATGCAACATTTAAATTTCAAAGTTAGTATACGTAACTATAGTATGTAATGTGGGACCTACTTTTGTACACTTCTTTTACTCCCTAAGTTTAATTGCGCGTTCAGTTCGCAGTGGATCCTGTCTCACTAGTGAATTGTCAGCCAATCAGAGCGAAGAAAATTTCTGTATCGAACCTCGCTAACGGATTATTAAGCTGCGGCTTGAAGGTGTGCAGGAGTAGGATCCATTATATATTGTACCGTGTATGTACATAGTACCACATACTTTTAGATTTAGCGAGTGTCGTGATGCCGCTGCCACTACATAGCACATAGATGTACCTGTATCTACGATAACCTCGCAAAAGTGGGAGAAGTTAACCCACGAGGTTCAGTTTTCTTGATTTCAAATATTAGAATATGAAAGCTTCTATAATTAACTTGAAAAATGATAACTTTGAAACAATTAGTTATAGATCGGTTGAAAGGACGCAGTAATTTTCTAATGTCATCATTATTGAGGTTTTCATTGATTAATTATATTCTAAAGATTGTACTTGTATATGGCTAAGAATTTTTCAGAAATGATTGCATAAACTTGTTCGTATCATATCATTTTTAGGCATTTAGATCCCGCAATAATAGGTTTTACAAGTGTACGGCAAAAAAGTAAAAGGAATGAATTAAATGTAACTTCGTTGTTTCAACCCGTTCCAATTAAAATTGAACGAAGCAATACAAACGTGGGTGTTGAGCTGACTGGTGAACTAAATAAAACTGATGTTAAAGTAACAATGAACTCCTTTGCAAGTAAAAAATCGATCAAAGACTTAGCTGCAGCACATGGATTAGATAGTAAGTCACGTTTCATAGGATTTATATTGAACAACTAATTTTTAATATTTTGTAATATTATTCATCTGATATTTTTCAGAGGATCTCTTAATTAAAGTTTTGAACGATTTTCGAAATTATTGTGTGTCATCGAATTCCTTACCAACGGATCTTCATGTCACCTTAAATGACATTATTAAAGGAGCTGCAAATGTTACTGATCTGTTCCCGTATTTTTTACGTTATGCAAAGGAATCGTATCCACACATTGACTGCATGGATGACCTCAAGAAAATCAGTGATCTTCGACATCCACCCAGTTGGTAATGATCGGCATTATTTTTGGTATTTAAAAACGTATTGTGTCCATTTATTATAATTCAAACGATACAAATATATATATTTGTATTACGTGTTATTTGAAGGTATCCTATGGCCAGGAGCAAAATTAGAAAAATAATATTTCATGCTGGACCCACGAATAGCGGCAAAACTTATCATGCTCTAGAAAGATTTATGTCTGCAAAATCTGGTGTTTATTGCGGTCCATTAAAATTATTAGCTGCTGAAGTTTTTAATAAATGCAATTCTATGGTTAGTACTGAAAATTGAATTAATTCTCGAGTGAGTGTAATAAGTATGAATCATTATAGGGTACAGCTTGTGATTTAATAACAGGAGAAGAAAGAAGGTTTGCCAAAAATGAAATGTCTCCTGCCCAACACATAGCATGTTCTGTAGAAATGGTGAATGTACAAAATATGTGTGAGTATTCATTGTTTGATATTTTCTTTGATGTTAGATGTTATAAAGAATTTCAAATTTAATACTTCTTTTTCTCTAGTAAAGAAACTGCCGAGAACATAATTTTAATTGTACATTTGTTATGACTTTTTTTACAGATGAAGTAGCTGTAATTGATGAAATTCAGTTGTTGCGTGATTTGTGTAGAGGTTGGGCATGGACAAGAGCCCTTTTGGGCATTGCTGCAGATGAACTACATTTATGTGGCGAATTTTCTGCTCTACCTATTGTAAGATCAATAACTATTATTTTTCAAACTGTTAATCAGAATTTACGAAAATTTTCTTTTATCGTATAAACTTAATATTTTATACCGTAGATACAGTCTATATGTGCAACAACAGGAGAAACTGTTGAAATTAAGAAATATGAACGGTTAACCGATCTTATAGTGGAAGACACTGCACTTAGAACGTTGACTGCTGTTGAACCAGGAGACTGTATAGTTTGTTTCAATAAAAATGATATATTTCATGTGTCACAAACTCTCGAAAGAAATGGGAAAGAAGTAGCGGTAATATATGGTAGTTTGCCACCGGGCACGAAACTCGCCCAGGCTGAACGATTTAATGACCCGAATGATAAATGTAAAATACTAGTAGCTACTAATGCAATCGGAATGGGTCTTAATTTGTAAGTTCATAGAAACAAATGTAACTGATACAACAAGTTTTATTTATGCTTCGATATTGTGGAAATAATGAAATTTTGTTACCTCTATTTCAGACATATCCGCCGAATTATATTTTATTCCGTTTGTCAGCTAACTGTAAATGAAATGGGCGAGAAGGAAGTAGATATAATATCTGTATCGTCAGCCCTCCAAATAGCAGGGCGCGCTGGTCGTTTTAATACGCAATGGCAATGCGTAAGTAATTTAATTTAATTATCGATTAAATACATTTAGTCATGTATAAAAACTAATACGAATAATTACATCCTGTTGTGTTATAATAGGGCTACGTTACAACGTTTAAACCAGGAGATCTTTTAATATTAAAGAAATTATTAAATGAAACCCCAGAGGATATAAAGCAGGTTGGATTGCATCCAACTGCTGATCAAATCGAATTATACGCTTATTATCTGCCGAACACACCGCTTTCAAATCTTATTGTAATATTTATTAATATATTCGATTATCCATACTCTCTTTTTATCACGGTTACACTATATCTTCTTCTTTTTCAGAATATATTTATTGCGTTATGTCAAGTCGATGATTCTCTCTACTTCATCTGCAATTTAGAAGATTTTAAATTTTTGGCTGATATGATACAACATATACCTTTAAATCTTCGTACGAAATATATATTTTGTTGCGCCCCCGTTAATAGAAAAATGCCATTTGTGTGCAATATGTTCTTAAAGGTAATTTGAAATAGTTGCCATTGAGTTTTCTTTTCATATTAAAAATTCCCTAATTTGCCTTACAGTATACGCGACAGTGTAGTAAAAATGAAAAAATAACTGCTTCTTGGTTGTGCAACCAAATTAAATGGCCACCAAAACCACCAGAAAATATTTCTGATCTTGTGCATTTAGAATCAGTATTTGATGTATTGGACATTTACCTTTGGCTCAGGTAAATAATATATCAATAATACTTTTGTTATATTTTTAGTTGTTTAAGGTCACCCTTTTTGTATTTATTAATGCCTATCGATATTTGTAATTATATAGCTATCGATTTAACGATATATTTCCCGATGGAATTGAAATTCGAAGGATACAGAAAGAATTGGATAAAATTATTGAACAAGGAGTGAGGAGATTGAAAATTCTTTTCCACGTAGCAACAGGTATCAGTATTTTAGAGTATGATGTTAGTCGTTAAGTAATTATAAAATGTAAAAACGAAGCACGCGCTAATACTGATTCTATCGATCAACAGACTCTACTGTACAAGATGACCAATCAGTTATAGGTGAATATCAACCGTATGGTAAAGATAGTTTAGTACATGCTAAAAATATATATGATTATTTAATTTATATTGTTATATAAAAACTAAGAAAGTCAATACAATACTTTATATTGCAGACGATGCCGTGTATCCATCCAAATCGGGTAAATTAACAAGCAGATTAATATCCGAAGGTCTTTTAACGCCAAAATTGTTAGAACAATTGCAACAGGAATGGTCAAAGGTAAAATAAAAAGAAAAAAAAGCAGAATTAATCTCAATATAAATTGACATGCGATAAGTATGGTTGAACATTGAACAATCTTTTCTCGATTTAGCAATGTATTAATTTATGTGATTCTTAATCGTTTTAGAAACAATGGAAAGAAAATCCAAAGTATGATAGTTGGAAGAAATATAGTAACAAAAAAATGACAACACGACAATTTTGGAAGCGTAGGTAGAATATTTTGTTTCTTTTTTTCTGAAATAATTTGACATAAAATTAACAATACAACGGAACATCGTTTTTATATTTGGGCAACCCAAACGAAAATGTATATCGAATAGAGGAATGTAAGTTATTCAAACTAAAGAGATTTTTTTATGTACAGTCTGTATTTTTATTTCGTCACTGAAACAATTAGTAGTCTGGAAAATAATTCACCCTATTCATCGAACAAGTGCAAAAGAGAGAATGTATTCAACAATCAAATATCATTTGAGATTTATTTCTCAGATACTTTTATAAACTCATGTTTGCGTGCCTGTTTTTTTGTACGTTTGTACTTTTGTCGAAGTTTGTGTAATCTTTGTTCGTTTTTTGCGAATATAGAAAGATTGTATGATAGGGGATGCCGTATTTTTGATCTGCGTTGCAGTCTATGAGACAGATTGATACATCTTGTACATCGTAACGAACCATTATTCATTATCAATGGACATAATATGTGTCTCCATTTTACACCGTCTTTGTAGGCTACTTTAATGTCGGTAACTTCTTGAAAACTTTCAGTATTGTATATACCTAAGGAAAAGGAAAGAGTAAATTTCCTCTCGTACTCATACTATATAAAAACCTACATAAAAACCATACATACCTTGACAAATCATTCTCTGATCAAATTCTTCGATAAGTTCTTCTATATCTAATAAATTTTGTACTCGTAAATGTTTCCCTTCTTTTATGAGATTATTAGCGAGGGGATTAATTTCTCTATTTACAGCGACGCAATGTAATGTCATGTCGCTCTTTATAAACACTTGTTTCTCTGTAAAAGGCATACCATTTTTCGTAATTGCCATATACATGTACACTATCGTTGTGGCATGGCCTGTTGATGTTACCAAACAAGACCAGCCACGAGGTAATAGTACTTCTGTACATATTTCGAGTAAATCTTCAAACAACATTTCATTCTCTTCAATATCATTGTTCGCAGTGGAGCATGCCTCTAATTGATCGTGATTATTACTTATTTGATTTTCTACAGGCAAATTTTCATTCCTGCTGTAATTATTGTCTGGCGGTTCTTCCTTTACTATTTTATGTTCCCAAAACTGTACCAACATTTCAGTTCCTTCAAGAGGGTCGGAAACCTTCGAAGAAAATTCTGATACTTTGTTGGATGCATTTTCATGCGAATCTTCTGCACAGATTTGTTGTTCGCCTGCCCCCTCGTTATTAAAAGTCGGATTTTCTATTGCATTTACATCCACAAAAGTTTCAGTGTTTTTGTCACGGTGTATCGTGTTGTTTCTCTTTACCTGTTTAAAATTCATTTCCACAGATTCTTTGTTGGATTCGTCATCTGTATCCGAGTCGTCCTGTAATGCTTCTACCGTAGTTGATTTTGCATTTGGCATGTAGTTGTGATCATGAAATTCTCTACTGTATTTATAATGCAACGGTATAACTCTATGCTTTTCGTAACAATTTATTTCTAATTTTTCATCAGCCTTAGATATAACAGGATCCTTTTTTGTCTCTTCTGCTGTATCCATCTTTTTCAATTTAAATGGTGAATAATTATCATCCGAGTTATCAGAATGTTCTGGATTTATATCCTCGTTTTCATCATGATAGTTTCTCCCAGGTACTGCTCCTGGTCTTAATCTACACTTTTTGTATTTAATCTGTTATAAACACAAGTTTATAAGAAAAAAAACTGATAAGATAAAATAAAGATACAAATGTGGAACTATTATTACTTACTGTTATAACATAGGGTGGTACTCCACTAGCCCAATGCGTAATGATATCATCCCTATGAAAATGTTTGCTGCAAACATACGTGTCATCTGTGACAGCATAATTTTCAATTGCAATCGCGTCTTGCCATTTCTGTCGCGTTTCTGGATCTTTGGGCGCAGAGAAAAAGCTGTAACTGTTCCTGTAATTGGTTTCCTTACACATAACACACTTGCGCGTCATGGTGACACATTAAAGTATGTTTCCTCGTGATTCTATGTAATACAATTGAGTTTTACCGACACGTTTCGCATCACACTGTCGTGATCATGTATAAAGAACATATCACAAGACTTCACCATAAAACTATGTAATTAATTAACACTGTACAACATTAACAATAGATCGTTGATACCTGTATAGGTTATAATACTTTCTGCAAAACATTGAGAAAAAGATAACGCGTATTCACTGAGTAACCATTACTTTACTACCATACGATTAATTATATATGTATGTCAATTGTAACAAACTTAATTCGGATTTGTTTACACCATACTTCAGAATTCTTCCTTGCCGTTGAGTGTACGATTTTTCAACTGCAAACACACTGATAACGGTAAGTAACGGTATTTTATAATTAATTTTACAATATATTTTAACAGTCAGATTTTCACGGGATTTCAATAGGAAACCGAACAGCACGTAACGTTTGAAAATATCTGTGGTACATTATTTATTTTCATCTTGTGTTTTTGTGATTCCGCTAATCGCATTCCCAGAATGCATTGTTAAATATGTAGTTTCAGGCGGTACATACATACGTAGGCTCAATTCTCATGAGTACACACAGTGTGTCCTAGTTCCAATATGCATCTCAATATCAATTTTATTTGAAAGTTAAATTACTTGCAATTCTAAGCCAGAAATCGCTTGTATTAGATAATGAATTGTCAATGCACATATATATGTACATAGTATGGTATTTAAATTTAAATTTAAATTTAATCTTTATCTTTATGTAAGCGTGGATAATTTTTAAATTTTTCTTTTTCTTTAAACAGTTGGAATTGGCTGTTTTTTTACATTATAAATCGTATTCATTACATTATAAATTGTACGCGTAAGTTATATTTCAGTGGCTTTGTTCTCGAACTTAAAGCCAATACATATGTACATAAGGAAATATGTTATATACAAAATAAAACAAAGAAAGAAAGAAAAGAAGAAACTCGTTCACCAATGCTGATATTTCACACAAAAATACAATTTCAGACAGATACGAACAATTTCCTAACAATAATCAAGAAAAATGAAATAGATAACTAGAAATAAGAAAAATAAAACAAATGGACGTTATAATACATTTGTATACACACACACACGCACACACGCCACACACGCACACACACACGCGCGCGCGCGCGCGCGCGATACATACGGTACATAGTTTTAACTTGCCTTGAAAGTTGTTGCTACTGCAAAGTTAAGATCCTGCAGCTATATTCATAGAACACAATTTATTTCACGCATACGTTCTGGAATTTGTTTCTCGAAAAAACATCGGTATTTCGTATCTAATCGAGTAAACACATAATCTGTGGTATTGACTAGGAATCTAGTCTAGGATACATATCATCAGTTGATATTAGTATATCTATTAATGTAGTCCAGTGGTGCAGTGCAGTCTGTTACACGAACATAGAAAACGGAATTTTCGTTCCTACGGGATCGCATCAGTTCTAAGTGAATTTTCATTTCCTTGCTAGGTTCGCAAGGAATGCTGTCGTAACGTTCGTTCAACAAAATTGTACACCCCGAATAATACCAGCACTGGTTTCTTGTTCCCCCTGTAATCGTCTCTTAGAAAAACGGCAACATTTTGCATGCAACTTCTTTGATCATTTACGTTGTCCGAAACTATATAGACGTGTCTCTTGTGATCCGCAATGGCGGAGACAAATGGGGCCGTGAATTTGAATACGGAAAATGGAAACTTTATTTGCGGCGTCGTCGAAGGTATGAAACCCGCTTTTAAGAGATTCGAAACCGACGTATATATTTGGTCATTTTTACGATGGTCTCGCATAAGAGCGGGGGCTATTGGAATGTGCTCTATTCACCACTATGATAATTTTTTTATTACAGGTTTCTATGGACGGCCTTGGACCACTGAACAGAGGAAAGATCTATTTCAAAAGCAAGTACTTTGCATTTACATCGATATTTTTCCATTGTATCATATTGCTATTATATTAAATGGTTTTTAGATTAAAAAAATGGGGAATGGACTCGTACTTGTATGCTCCAAAAGATGATTACAAGCACCGTGCGTACTGGAGGGATTTGTATACCGTAGAAGAAGCAGAACATTTGACTGGTTTGATAACAGCTGCTAAAGATTGTGGTATCACTTTTTATTATGCTCTATCACCAGGATTAGATATCACTTATTCAAGTACAAAAGAAGTTACTATATTGAAAAGGAAGTTAGAGCAAGTCAGTCAGTTTGGTTGTACTGCGTTTGCATTGTTATTCGATGACATAGAACCAGAAATGAGTGAAGCGGACAAAGAAGTATTTCAATCCTTTGCCCATGCACAAGTATTTATCGTATAGTCTGTTAAATATGATAAATCTCGATAATTATAATTATGATATTTCTTTTGTTAAAGGTTTCTGTTACAAACGATATATTTCAACATCTAGGTCAACCAAAATTTCTTTTATGTCCAACACAGTACTGTGCAACTCGTGCAATGCCAAATGTAACATCTTCGGAGTATCTTAATACGCTTGGTAATAAACTAGCACAGGAAATTGACATAATGTGGACTGGTCCTAAAGTAATATCAAGACTTCTGACTGTCGAGTCCATAGAGGAAATAACAGAGGTTTTAAGAAGGCCACCAGTCATATGGGATAATTTGCATGCTAATGATTATGATCAAAAAAGAGTATTTCTAGGTCCATATTCTGGTAGATCTCCTGATCTGATTCCTAGATTGAGGGGTGTTTTAACGAATCCTAATTGCGAGTACGGAGCAAACTTTATAGCAATTCATACTTTGGCTCAGTGGAGCAGATGTAATATAGATGGAAAGAGAGACTTGAGTATGTATTTAACTGTATGTAATTTTATATGTGTTATTCTTGGCATTATGGGCTAATTATTTCACATTTCATAGATGATTCTGTATCAGCTGACATAAGATTAGAAACAGAAACAGAGGATGGTTTGCTTGGTGAAGATGTACTTCCTTCAACAATGTCACCGAATATATATCATCCCCGACATGCTTTAAAAATGGCCATAAATGACTGGTTACTAGAATTTAACAAAAAGAGGGCAGCGTGGGGCGTTATAGCAAAACCACAGCCGTGTGTGGCCCCAACGATACCAATACCAATAATACCTTCTGTAAATACTTGTATGAGTCTTACATCAACTACAACTACTACCGTTCCTGCGACAGCTGGACCAGTAACCAATTCCAGCCATCTTCAAGCATTGGCCGAAGTTTGCTCGACAGTAACAACAAGCGATAATTTCGTACCGCCCACTGGTCCAGTGATGAACTCATTAGTATCGGAGACAACTGTTATCAGTGAACCTATAATTTCAGCAATTTCCACTAATACAGGAACCGTGTCAACTACGAATGTACTGTCGGTCGTAGAACCTATGGATTGTAATACAACGCCTAATAATTCTCCAGCGCATGCAGCCAAGATTCAGGCGGAAGACGATGTTATGATAGAGAATGCATCTGTAAGTATTTCATCGTTTAAAAAAGTATCTCTATTGGAAAGCCAATTTTTTAGTAGTTAATGCATCAAATTTCAATTATTCATTATAATATCTTTTTTATAGACTTGTAGCGAGGCATCTGGTAGTATGCAAGTTGAAGTGGACAGCGCGTCTCCGATAGTAAATGGTACACAAATGATTGTGGAGAATGATAGTGAAAATCATGATACTACCGACAATACGGATCAAGAATCACAAGATTCTATTGATGCTGATAAAAGATTAACGTCGGAAGATCTTTCGTTACTATGCGATCTATTTTATTTGCCGTTTGAACATGGTGGTCAAGGTATTCAGTTGTTACAAGAATTTAACTGGCTAAAAAGTAATGCTCATGTCGTCATGAAAAAGTTAAAAGAAGATGAGAGTGTATCTCAGTCGGACGTGAGTAACATAACATTTCTATTCGGCGAATATTTTCTAAATTTTTGTATGTGCAATTCAATGAAATAAAATTTCAGGTTGAAGAATGGCACGCAAGAGCGGCAAAAATGAACGACATGTGCAATGCCGTGAACAGACTATTTCAACGGCTTACATATTGTAATAATCGTGAGTTGCTGTACGATTTGTATTCGTATGTTTGGGATATGAGAGGAGTCGTGTCCCTCTTAAACAGTTACGTGAAATGGTTGGGTAAGTTGCATTATTATTTATAGTATATAGTATTATTATAAGAAACTAAATATATGTACACAAAAGAAGTGAAGTGAATTCAGAGAAGAGTATTCTAAATCAAGTAAAAATTAGTACTATTCAATGGTCCACATCACGTTTGAAATAGCATTTTCAGTGTCAATTAAATATTTTGTAATCCTTCATCGTTAATTCCTATAATTACAAAATATACGAAGACAGTAGCGATAAAAGTATATAAAGAAAGTTTGTCCAAAATGCTAATATGCTGGTACAATAATGTAAAAGTAATTGTTCACAACATTTTCTTATAGTTATAAAATGTATAACATGCTACCGCGATTATTATTTTTCACATAATATTTCCATTGTCTTAAGTAGTAGAGAATTGTATTTATTGTGCTACAGATGAGTGCTGTTATGAACTTTTCTCAAGAGTATTATAATTTATTACCTATACTTATATTTCAGAACAAAAGTGTCTCGAGTATTGGTAAGTGTACTGTTCTACTCTTTTTTTATCCCACATGATTTGTCCTTTTACAAGGAGGATATTATTATATCACCTAAATATCAACAAAAGATCACCACAAAACTTATAATAATTACAGATTTAGAAACACATTAATAGTGTTGAGAAAAATATCTCGTATGTGTATTCGTTGTAAACATATTGCCTTATGTTTCTTGTAAAAGAAATATTTATTTAATATGGTATCATGATTTACCGTATTACTACACTGTTCATCCTTGTGAAATGACATCATTATACAATCGTAAAACACATACAAATCATGAACCACTAACTCCGAAAGTTACTGATGTCTTGTTAACTTAATTTTAACTCAACCATTTTTATTCTTTGTATTCGCTTTACAAACGTGATAATTGGATAGTAAAAATATAAGCTCGTTTCACTGCATATAAAATGCGTGTTTTACCAACATTACTCTCCAAATACTCGTTTTAACTCAAGATATAGGCATGAATAATGTTTGATTACAGAAAGAATTCTGAAGGTAACTTAAACAAATGTAACTATGTATTTCTATCGTTCGATATTGTAGATTATTTTCTAAACAGTGGAGAAGTAAACAGGCATCACTAATAGTTGGAACTAAAATATTTCATAGATCGCTTATCTATGAAACTGCATTTGTACATTTGTTTCTGCGCTTTAGAACCAAATGTACCCCGTGGCGCGCGTAAACAGACAAGAACGGTCGCCGTAAGTCAAAATTGGAATTAGTTGAAAGCGTAAATTGAATTTGTTCTTCTTATTTCTTAATGTATTCGTATTTCTTACATGCACAGACTGTGTACACGATTGTTAAATATAAGATCTTTTATAAAAGAAAAAGAAACTAAAGCAGAAACTTAATAATTCATTCTACACTTGAAACTAACTTGATAGTCTTCCTTTGAGTTTTATTATACAGAGATATTTTCATAAAATGATCTTTTTCTTTCTCGACTGACGGCTTCCTATTTATAATTCTGTCGATATGAAATCAAATCGCAGCAGTTCTTTTCTTGAATATTATCAAAAATTTGCATATATGAATATTATTAAGAATTGTAAACCATTTGTTTCCTTAAAATTAAGAGAATTGATGTGATTTGATGGCGCAACAACTTGGCGAAACAATTTTCCATAGCAAACACTTTCTGGGAAACTATTTAACAGCAACAATGTGAACCTGAACAAATACTGTGTTTTATAAATAACCTTATGCCAGCTATTAACATATTGGCTGACATTCTTTCACAGATAATGTTCGGCAGGAAATTATTCGTTACATTAATATTACATAGTTTCGTTGCATATACTTTTGTGCAGTTAAGAACGGTATAAGGAGGAGTAATAATAATCTGTAGCGAATTATTTTTGCCAACAATATAAGTGTATCCAAGAACAGTACAGCTTCACTGACTAACCGTGCATTTCTGTGTTTTCTGTCTTGTTGATAGCGTTTGGCAGATTCCCGTCAACGATGACATCATTTACCCAGGGGAGCTACACATGTATGCGATTCACCAGTCTGAGTAATCCAACAAAAAGCGCGCGTCTAACAAAGCTTCAACTCGACGAAAACAATTGCATATTATTAGTTTGTGTTTGAAGCTTTGTAAAGATCATTGCAATTAATATGAACAAGAGATTTGCGCGTAGAAGCAGCGTTCTGATGTCTAGAAGGATCTATGTGTACTCAACACAAATACCTTTTGTACCTAAGTCTAATAAAATGGACACACTTTCTTATTCTGCAAAAATGATAAAAATTTCGGGTGTACCTTGTGTTTATAAATAATCTTTTTAATTTCTATTCGATTTTACACAATTCACACATCACAATATTTATTTGAAATTGCATTACAAGCTTTCTCAAAGGCAACAGGTAAATCTTTTTAATTGTATGCAACCAAATTAAAATGTGGTACAAATTTTTGCATATAAAGTGGGTCTATCCGTAGCTTCTCTTAAATTGGCAAAGTTAAGATAGAACTTTGCGAACTGTACGAGCTTTCCCTATAACTATTGTACTAGTCACGTACAGCCTGCAAGAGTTGTATCTATATATTTTTTAAATTATATCTTAAAATTTGCAGAAGTTTATTTTTTTACTTACAATGATGGATAACATTTTTCCGAATTGACGGTTTTATTGGTTTTATGAGAACATCTTCTGTAGGTTGAGAATGACTAGGAAACATCTTCCTTTTGCCAACTTGCCTGTACTAATTTCTTTTAGTTCCAGAATCTATATTCTTTTTCAGGAGTAATAGGACTTTTATTTCAGGCGCATTTTGGCAAACTGGATTATCATTCCATTAATCCTGTTCCTCTCTCCCTTATCCTAAAAAATGATCACTGCGCGAACTTTGGTGCAACATTCTTTAAAAACAATTACTTTGTAAATATCATATTGATATTAATTAGTTAAAATTTAATATTAGTACATGGTTATTTAACATTAAAATCTCATACGAATGAGATAGATGTGAAATGCAATACCACAAGTCTTCCTTATTTATCTTTATTCTTAAAGTATTCAGTATGTGGATTTCTAATTATTTCAAACACGCTCGCGCGCACACATACACGCAAACACACGCATACACGCAGTAAATATGATTTTACTCATGGAAATGTTGCACCGTAGTTATTCGATCCGATGTATTTCTTTATCTCGTGATATTATTCTTCCTATCATATGAACGTTGTGAGAGAGAAGGATTTGATATGCCGAATGAGATAAAGAAAATGCGGCGCCATCGATCGAAAGTATACTTATGCATGTGTAAATTTAATTAAAGTTAGTGCTCAGGGCAGTGGAAGCCGTATCATATATTTAATAAACTGCATAATCGCGCGTACACAAGTCACACGCTTCATCATTTATTAAGTTCAAATACTGTCTTTGGGATAGGGTTCTCGAATGGCTGGAAAGAAACATTTATGAGCGGAGATCAAGAGCCATGGGTTTTCCGTGGGGGTCTCACAGCTGATCTACAGGTATGTTGATGTGCTTTTTCGTACAATGTTTGTTTTATAACAAATTCTAACCGGTGTAACATTAACTTTCACACTTTACAGAGACTAATTCCAGTGGATAGTGGAAATGATCTATTCGTTTACAAAGCACCAGAAGTGCCTAGTAGTAAGATTTATACAATTAGGCCTTACTTATCCAGCGATGAAGAAGGAGTTTATGCCGTATGCAATAAACTTTATGGTTCCACAATATCGTCTGCAGTGGCAGATAGGTACTCGAGGCTTTAAGTTTAACTAACATTCATCACAGATTATCATTAAGTAATAACTATTCACCGTTTTACCCCCATTTCTCACTACAGATTGGTTGGTGGTTTTCTAACTTTAAGTCCAGAACTTTGTATGGTTGTCGAAGACGAGAGCGGTATAGTGGGTTATGCATTGGCTGCCTTGAATGTGAAGACTTACAACCAAAAGTTAGCGGTTTCTTGGATACCCGAGTTACGTTTAAAATACCCATTGGACGATAGTATAAATGATATGTCTCAAAATGTTCAGGTATAATATTTAAATAACGTTTTATGAGTTGTTAATCTTTCTAATTTATTAATACCTGAAATTTGTTTCTTTTTAGGATGCCATACGATACTTTCATTCATTTGTCCCGGAGGTATCTGAGCAATTATGCAGGCAACATCCGTCAAATCTTTTGTGCGCAGTGTTGCCATGTTTGACAGATCAGTCTGTTCCTAAACGACTAATTACGTGTATTCTCGCTGCTCTGAGAGCAAATGGTCAATACTCTTTAACAGATTATTGTTCATGGAAGGAACACTTACGGTTGATCTAACTAACTCTAATACTGTCTGCAGGTTCTTTTGGAGTACACACCACTATGTCCAGCATCGAGAAAGAGTCGCAAGAGTTTTATAGTAAATTAGGTTTTGTTGACCTGAATCAAGCGCACGAAGAACACTCTGGAATCAAAACTATGTGCAGAAGTTTCTAACAGAGAGTGAGCACGCCGGTAATATTTGTAAATAAGGTTTACTTGTTCGAACCATCTTCAAAGAAAACTTCTAATGTTTAGAAGTAGCCAAGATCGTGTGGGAATACGGTAATTTCTAGATGAATTCGTGGACACATTTCTGTCTGTTCTATTTTACAAGGACAGAATATATTATTCGTCGAAAGAAATGGATATCTTTTTGTAAGGAAAAAAGATCTTGAGAGAGGTTCTCTACATCATACGTTCATTGATAAATCATATTTTCTTTCTGAGAACTGTCCCAGAACATCTGCCTTCTTAAATTAGAGAATCACCTAAATGTGTTTAACAATATATTCGTACATATGATATGTATATACAGAGTATGTCGCTAAAGAAAAACGTGAAAGAGATCGCGGTGAAAAGTGTAAAATGTGCAATAGTAAGAATTACTGGAATAGCAAGGCGGTAATGGAATAGCAGAAAAGCGAATATGTTAATTTTATAAAAATTTGCATTTGTGTGTTAGATCGCTGCGAAACTTTAGTGTATCTGGTATGCTTGTATATTAATAGTAAGGTTTCTTTAAAAAGGATGTATATAACGTGTTGTTGGGTCGTCTACGGCGAAAAAATATGTCAGTATGTCTCTGTGTGTTTGTGTATTCAAGTGATAAATTATAATTATCGAAGCTTTTTAACTCATTGAAGGATATTTTTTTATCGAAATCGATCACGTGCGCGGATAATTGTGAACAGAATGAATGGCAGTTTGATTTTTCGAAATATATAATTATTTGTTACAAGAATGCTAGGCACAAAATCTAATTTTAACATCCGGTTCAAGTTTCTTAAAGAAAGCTACCTAATTCCATAGGTATTTTACTGTCTCATAGTGTTAAGTATTTTACTGCGATATATATATCGCATATATGTATAGAGTTGGTTCTTAATATGCCCGCGCTATGAGGTCTTTTTACTTTTAACATTATCATTCTAATAGTAGTATCTTTTCATCGAAAACATCGGTATTACTAACTATATCTAATCGGCTCTACGTTTGCAATATACATATTACATACCACATGTGTGTATGCATTGCCACAGAATGTGATATATAGGATTCTTTAGAAAAATAGCAAATAATTTCATTACCACCCAAAATGTAACAATACACAGTTAACTATTTATAATCTGATTGATTTGTGAACTGGAGTCACAGGTTTTATGTAATTGTTTGTTTTGAATATTAAGTTTGTTGCCACATCAGTAGTGTCAGTAGACTCTTAAAATGTGTAAAAAGAAACAGTTGATGTTTTTGGAAAGGAACAAAAATCATAAACTTTAAATTTTCAACAAATTAATAACACTTAGATTGTTGCGTCGAACCTGATTAGTAGACACTAACGAATTAGTGATCTGTACCGTCTTCGATGCGCGTCAATGTAACGAATGTACAGAACCAGAAAATAAAAAGTAATCAGAGATAAAAGAAAGTACGCGACACGTGAAAAGGGAAGAAATAAAATTAAAAAAAAATGAAGATCTTAGGTATCTGCCTTACAACTATTAAACTACATAAATACTATTATAAATATAATTGTATTGCGGAGTGAAATATGACCATTGATTCCGATCAAGATGATACTGTAATAGGATTTGAAGTAGTGCCATGTACAAAGGGAGTTTGATCATTGTGAAGATAATTACATTGTTCGAATCTATTTTAATTCCATTTTTACTGTTTTATAGAAATTGTATAATACCTACTCGCTAGATTTTCACGATGATCAAACGAAGAGAAATGTTATTTTGACGAGAATACTGGAAAACAATTATCTTATTTATATTTATCGTCGTATATGCACAATTTTTAAATACTTTTTACCACCATATTTCTCCTATATTAAATACGTCCATATATTTTTACAGAAATACTAATATAAATTCATTTTATACTAGTGTTGTACAAACAAAATTTGTCGTACATTAGTTTTCTACTTTATAGTCTTATAATAATATTTCCAGTTGCCTCGTCATGTACTCGTAAGTAATAATATGTTTAATTAACATTATGGAACAATATGTGATTACTACTGATTTATTTAAATAAAAATGTCAAGACTGATACTCTTGGTGTAATCAGTATTAAAAACGGGAAAAGATTGCAATAGGATAATAATTTTAATACAAAGGATAATAATTTTAATATTTTAAATATTTAAAGTCGCTATTGCAACGTCGCGTTATACTTTTGCAAGTTTTTAATTTCATTTTGATATTCTAATATCTGAAATTTCAAGGAAACATATCAAATAAGAAGGCTTGTAAAATATATTTTTTTTCTTTACGATAGTCATGTTGAATAAATACCTTTCTCATGTCTTTTTCCAGTAGACATTGTGTAGTTCTTGGAGTTACCGTGTCCATAGCTTTTGTGTCCAAGTAATTCAAAGATTTCAGCAAATTATTGATTGTCACATTAATATCACTGTAACAAAAGTATTTTCACAGTTAATTTTTTACTAAATGTTTTATCGTTTTGACAACTACAAAAATGGCACAACTTCTTGCTTACTTTGGTGGATTGAATTTCTGTCTTCCCTTATCTTCCGATCGTGTAGTATTCTAAAATTTAAATCGATGAATATCAATTTTGACAAATTTTTAAACAGATGTTCTATATTGATCTCACCGATTTTGGTGCTTGTTTGAATATTGAGATATAATCTTCTAAATCAAATCCAAAGGGAATGTCATCTACAAAATGAAAGTTTCATAGAATTTAATTATCTAACAATAACATAAGACAAATTACAGTGCGGTACCTTCATTTCTATTCATTGCCCTTTCCATAGCTACATTAAAACTTTTTCTATCTAGTCTCCACTTTTTCAGAACATTTTCATCCCTAAGAAACAATTGAGCTGTGATAATAATAAGTGTCACACACGCAAAATATTAACAGCATCGCAATACGTACTTCAATTTTTGTAGTATTAAAGCTTGTTTTGCCAATAAATCTCTTGCTTTAGAGTACCACAGTATACGACGTTCCTCTAAAGTATTTGCACTTTTATTTTCACACCTAAATCAATTATAGAATTTGAAAAACTATCTGAATAATACGAGAAATTCATAATTAAAAAAAACTTTTATTTTTCTTAAATTGTCTATTTCTAGATACATAACTATGATCTTATTCATACATAATCTTTTATTAGTTATTCGTGTAATCCTATATAATTTTTTAAACACGACAACATCCAGTCCGGATTGTTTACTCTCATTGGATACAACTTAAATCTTTTTGCATCATTTGTAATAATATTAAAACAGTGATCAACATTTCCAGTATTACCATATTTCTTATGATTTTCCTCCAATGAATAAGATTTCTCTGCTTTTAAAGGTACAAAGCACACGAAGTTGTCAGCAGCTGATTTAACTCTACAATCATTCTGTACAAATTTATAATATGTTTTTAATGCCCTAACATTTTGTCTCACATAAAGGGACCTTGATGATGGACCTATTAATCGTAACATCTTATTACCGACATCGTCGGTATCAGTATCAAAACAACTGTCTATCTTACTTCTGTGATCATTCGTTGCTTTCAAGCATGTATATTTTGACTGTTTGTACGTGTTCTCTGACTTTTCATTTATTCTGGTACCAACTCCTTTTTGCAAACAGGTGTCACAGAGGATAGTTGAATTTTTTTTAAATAAACAACTGTTCAACGAAGTAGTCGATTTATCAGTGGAATACCTGTTACTAGGTTTATAAGTCTTGCATTTCTCCCTGATAGACGTATTTTTGTTGTGAACTTGAATTCTGGAAGTTACAGTCTTTGTTTTCGTCTTTCTTGGAGATTGATAACAAAGAATAGTTGATAACTTTGGCTCAATTTTGTCTAAAACATAAAGTAGAAGTTAATGCTTTAGTAAATTTTAAATATAATTTATTTTAAAAACTACTTAACCGACTCGCTTACATTCCTTAGATTCTATTTGATGATCTGGATGAATTTTGTTCCATTCTAATCTTAAAAATGTCAAGATCGATGTAATTCCTGAGGCTACAATATCCTTTGATGGTACAATAAGTGGGTTTTGTGCTACCTGAAGCGTTTTCAATTTTGGCAAAGTACCTGAAATAGAGTAATACCATGTTTTCGGAATCGAACATTCGATAGTAAATGGTATATACAAAATACTTTATATGAAAGAATACATATAGATTCGAAAAACAAAAAGGAATAAAAAGAAAATGAATATTTGTATACTTCTCTATTTTTCGTTTAAATTGTAATACAATTGTATAAAATAATGCAATTCTAAAACTGCTTTCACCTTCAAAATTACCTTGATCCTAATCTCCTAATCTTCCTCTTCAAGAAAGAGAGAGAGAGAGAGAGAGAGAGAGAGAGAGAGAGAGAGAGAGAGAGAGAGAGAGAGAGAGAGAGAGAGNCGTTTGTAAACGATCGATTAATATCGGCACTGTAAATACACCCCCGCCCCCCGCCCCCCTTCTTCCCCCCACCCCGAACAAATCTTTGCTCAGCTTTCTATCGTTTACGTGGGTGCGAGCGAGGCGGAGAGAATGCTGGGGCGCAAGATTATGCGTGCTCGAGAGAAAGAGAGAAAGTTGGGAAGGTCGGTTCTCTTCGGAGGATCGCGCGTAAAACTCGAGTCGTCGTGTTTTTTTTCTGGTCAAGTAGACATTTAGTGCGCATAGGGAACGAGTTGTCCGACCGAACATTTGTCAAATTCGATCGACGAAACTATGTATATTTCGTAATTGTTCGAGGCGAACCCGCAACATTACGCTCGAACGAATCCTTGCGTTCCCTTCTTTCGTTCGACACTGCACCGTTTCGTTCGCGCGATCAACGCGACTTTTTCATAGGCTGCGACGAACGAACATCAGGCGCGTACAGCGGTTTCATCGGCGATGGCAAGAGCATTTCATCGTGGCGCGAGGGAATTCGCGTCGAATCGTTCGAATCGGCGAACGATCGAGCGGGATTGAGTTATAACCACGCTGCTCGGGATGCTTAAACTATTCGCGGATTCGAACGATTATGTCGTTTAGCAAAGCATGCGACGAGTAATGAACTCTTTGAGCTAGTCGGGCAACGATATCCGCGACGATAAATTGCTGAAACAGATGTTCCGCGTTCGTTCTCCCGAATTCTTCGACGGCGCGACCTTTCTACGCGCAGCACGATTAAAACCGGTCGAACATTTCGACGAATTTGGCGAGCCTGTCTGCGAGAACGTTTCGCGGCCTCGTTGAGTTTTTCAACGTAAACTTTCATTCACAGCTGCCGCTATTACGGTGATCAATTTTTTTTTAATCAGCCTGTAGTGCGAGAGCGGCGCACGAAATAGCCACACTCTATCGTTAAATATTGCACTATTTATTGACAAACGTGCCGTCTTGTTTAGAAAGCAAGTAAGTAAATCGATTTTACAGTTGCTTATCTGGTGGATTCGTTTGCGAGGGACAGAGCTATTCTTTATTAAGAAATTTTCGCCGGAGACTAGGTTCGTTGCTTCGAGAGCTACATTTGGAAAATATTCCATATTTTTGTAAATAAAGATCGGTAGAAAGTGAAACCTAATTATCGCTCCCGATGAAAATTGTCCAAAGTTTTGCGACAGTAATTCCGAATGTCGAAGTACTTGTGCTAACGTCGTTACGCTTATCTTTCCGTCAACATCGAGGACCGCTGATCGGTGTCGATCGGAGGACACGAAACACGCGAGCAATATGATTGTCTTCTTCTTCTTTCTTCTTTATAGATCGCTATCAAAAGAAGCCGGAAGAACGCAATAAAACAGTTTGGTATCATTTTGTAACCGTTTCGAGTGATTCTCCCATCAATTATTGGATCGATTATTAATCGAAGTCTACCTAATCCGAGGAACATTCGATCAGCTCGTGAACGAACGTTCGATGACTGGAAACCTTTTGTCCCGTCCTGTATTACCTTTCCCTTGCATTTCACCGATCGATCCGCGGGTATTAACGCGATTCTAAACAAAGAAGTCTTTCCGACTCCGAAAATTATGAACGATTGAATACAATCGCGTGTACAAAAACGGGGGAGAAGAGAGAGAGAGAGAGAGAGAGAGAGAGAGAGAGTCTTTAACATTTAACTATACCTTTTAATTAGCGCATAATTATTACAAAATTCTAGCTCAAAATTAACTTAATTTCTACTTAATATTTATTATTTTTAATATACATATGAAGCTTACATAATTCTATTGGTAACTCCTGTATATTATTAGCCTGAAGGAGAAGGGTTTCTATACATTGATGTGATTCAATACTATTTGGTAATGAAGAAATTTGATTATTCCTGACATCCAACCATTTAAGATGTCTTAAAAATGTGAAAATTTCATCTGGGAGTTCGATTAAATCATTGTTACTCAGATATAGCATCTAAGGATCAGACAAAAACATTTATCATCTACACGTGATTAATTAAAAATTATCTTAGAATCGCAGAATAATTTAAAAACGTTATTTAAAGAAAAAAGATACCTTCAATTGTGAAAATTCATTTAATATTTCTTTTGGGAATTGTTTTAAATTAATGCCGGAGAAATCTGCAAATGTTTCGTTGCAGATAGGTACTATTTTTGTTGCTGGTGGCATAGGAGAACCAGTTTTTGAAGATCTCTGCGATCTTTTCAATGTAAAACCAGATGCATCGGAGACATCTGGTAATGTATCCTCGGCAAACGATAGACTCGAGTTACTTCCGTTTGTCTCTTTATGACCACCCTCTTTTGTAACGAAGACAGGAACAGTATTTGAAAATTCAGCACGATCTGCTCCAAATTCGATATTTTCATTAGCGTTATGCCCCACATTTTGTTCTGAATCGATTTCACAAATAATCGAACTCTCCTCGGAATCGTAGGCATTTTCTATATTATTGAAAGCTCTTGATGACCTTTGGCATTTCTCGCTCTCGATACTCAATTTCCGAACGTCGTCAGTATTTTTCTACGATAACGAAATTATTTTTACCGTAGTAACTACCGATGTTTCCGAAACATTTTTTGAAATACAATTTTAAATTATAAATAATTAAAAGAAAAAATATATATATATCAGAGTTTTTAATAAATCAGAGTACCTGACACTCATCTTCAGATATGTTCTCTTCGTTAGTGGTGACAGATGTTTGTTCAGTAAACTGTCTCACTTCTCCGCTTTTGATATTATCAATAGATTTGTGAATAGACAAAAACTTTGTAGCAGTTACTTTAGAGTTAAGACCGTAATACAGTGTTAATAAATTCTTTGCTTGATCGGACATGATAAAGATAAATCACAAAATATTTACACGAATAATTATCTACTTCTAAACATTCGGAAATGTTTTCACAATTGCAAGTTGGGAATTACATCGATAACAATTCTTGTTTATTCATTACCTAGGTTACATGGTACGTACTATACATGGTATAGTAGATAGCAAATTGTTACTATGTACTACAAATAAGGTTTAAGATGGCTTCGATTTAATTCAAATATGCCGCGTGCAATGATTCAAAACCCAGCTTATTTTAAATTTGAATTTGAAATATACCTGGGCCCTAGTCCCCAGTTCCCAATGGTTCTCTGTTGTACCTACATGTAGTTCTCGAAGGACTTACTCCTGCACACCTCTGGGCCGCAGCTTGATCCGGCTTGATAAAGCTTAGCGACGGTCGATATAGAAATTTTCTTTATTCTGATTGATCCACTGCGCAAGATTGGAAACGCAGTAAAATGGAAGGGGTGTGCGCACCAGCTTAGGGAACAAGAAAAGTGTGCAAGAGTAGGTATCATTACTGTACTGTGTTGTCATGGTATATATATATATTTATATGTATATTTTGAAAATACTATGCGCACAGATCGCCTATGTATAATTTCTGCTTATACATGTGCGTTGGTATGCATCCATGCATTACTGTAGATATGGATATGGAGTGCAATTAAAAAATAATTTACAATATCAGAAAATTCTTCTGTCGATAGGAGGCGTAAAATTGGTGTAAACAAATAAATCGTTCGATTAAAATTTTAAATACGCTTGTAGTAAAATCATGGATGATTTAGGAATAAGTACAATAAGTACAGACAACCTCTGTAAATTGTAAGTGTCACAGCAATAACCTCGAATTTGCTTCGTAAATAATTTTTAATTATGTGTATGCACAGAATTGATGTTGCTTAGATTTTTTTTCGTAAAATTGAAAAAGTAAGATTGTTTGAGTGAATACATAAGTTTCTTTTTAATTGCAGTTGCAACTCAAAATCTAGAATATATACTTGTCCCAAATGTGGCATGGGCTATTGTAATGTAGATTGTTATAAGTCCGAAGGTCATTTAGAATGTTCAGAGAGTTTTTATAAAAAATGTATAGAAGATGAGTTAAAGTCTCAAGAAAAAGATCCAGAGATCAGGATAAAGATGATTGAAATTCTTAAGAGGGTACATGAAACGGATCTCAATGATTTTGATTCAGAAAATGATACTACAAGTGATCATGAAGAAGGTGATGAAGAATTAGGACATTTGGATTCGGATGATGAAGACGATGTAAATAGAATTTACGTTTACGTTGAAAGTATTTTTGCTCAGTGTCGATTAACTTTCCTGATTTTTTATTCATTTTAGGTTCCAGATCTAGAAAAACGATTACACGATGTAAACTTGGATAATGCAAACGAAGTGTGGTCGGTATTAACAGATTCTGAGAAACAAGAATTTGAAGCTTTAATAAAAAATGGTGGAATAGAGAAATTATTACCAAAGTGGGTCCCATGGTGGACTTATCGTACCGAGAAGAAGCTTGTACAAGACATGGACGAAAAAGACAATGAACAAGGATTATCCTCCATGGAATATCCTCCTCTAATCGATGTTCCTATATTCAATGAATTGCAGGTAATAGATTGATTGCAATTATAAAATTCTCCAGTTGTAAGAATTTATATAGCATTAAATATTATTTCATTATTTGCAGAAAGCGTCTCCAAATGTTTATTTTAATTTAATAAATGTGATTTATGCGTATGCATACATGGCAATTTATTACAATGGTGACTATTCAAATAGTACAGTAGAAGCTACAGTCATCTTTCTTGATCTTTGCGATAACATGAAACAGAATAAAATATATGAAAGTACAAAGTCAGCAATAGCCGGTGTTGTCCACAACATTGTCAATGTATGTATTATTTGAATTTTATATGTATAACGACTTTATGCAAGTATATATTATATCTGTTGTTGGAACATTGAGAATTACTATTCTTTATATAGTGTGATTGGATGCCACAAGATGAAGGAAGTTTACTAGGTTTCAAGGAAGCAGCAAATTCGATAATACAAGGTCCAGAAGAGAAAAATAAATATTTCTACGTTGCAACTGCACTTTCTGAATTACATAGATTACTATTAGCAGCCAAGGAAGAAGTGTCCAAGCAGAAAAGTAATGTTGAGAGTAAAGAATTCTCGAAAATATTTTCGCATAGATATAACACGAATAATAATATAAATCTGTCAAAAAAGGCTCTCCTCTTGTGTTGTAAAAAGTTAGAATACTATTTGTCGTGGATTAAAAGCTGTCATGTAAATATAAATACATAAATGGGTATAAATAAAATGTTTGAAATCATTTTTAAACGTTGGTATTCAAATGTTAATCATATCCATCGTGATTAAATCAATTCCCGTTATTTAATTTTTATGCTGAGATTGCAAATCCTAATATTTAAAAAAAATTCCAAAATCTTTCCATTATCTATATTTCGCTATATTTTGTAACAAAGATTCTCTTCGCAAGCGAAGTAATTCACGGTATAATAATAATAATATAAACATTAATGTTGCATATTAATGTTGACGAAAACCATGGTTATTGTTCCTACTTTGTTTGTGACCAATAATTTTGAATTCAAATTTTAACTTCGAGAATCGATATATCTCGAGTAATAAAACGATCTGTCAGTGGGGCAAGCAGACGATATTTACAGAGATCGTAAGCAAAAGGATAGTGGGCAAGATGGTGGCGGACGAGAAATTGTTTTTCTCGAAAGCTGTTCAACATTTGGCTCGATGTTTAGCCGCAATCAAACCTACACCATGGGAAAAGGTATGCATATTCTACAACAAATAATACGAATGAACAAAGTGCTGATTGTGTTTATACATGCACCGAAATTTGACATATGATCAATGATGATTAGGTTATTTCTAAGGATATGTCAGCTGATATCCTCTGACATGTCATCTTATGATATAATAGGAAGGACAGCTTTTATTAATTTCCTTCTAGGACAATTATATATCAATGGCTATTAATTAGCATCGGTTTCCTTTTAAAGAAAACGTTTTGTCATGCTTAACAGATGTAACTGACTTTTATAACAACCATTTTACGAACAAGGAATAATTAATAAGTTAAGAATGATATAATAAGTAGAATTAAGAAATAGTTTTAAAGTAATAATATTTTTCTTTCGATAATATCCGCAATCATTTTGGAAGTCTTAATTTGTATGACAAGTTATAATCATGGAATTATACAGTAATAAAATTAGAGAGCTACTGTTTAAGCTTAATTAAAAAAAGAAGGCACGCTTATATTTATATTTATATAATATTTTAATTTTCTATTCAATTATTTAAATAATACCGGTAGCTTTAAAACGATATTTTCCTTTTCTAATAGCTAGTGAAGGTGTATTTATTCTAATTTAGGTAATGCAATTGTACAAATTATGCCCACAAGAAACTGCTCAAGGTATATATCGGTTGGATCAGAGGGGTCAAGATGCAACTATTGCATTAGGAATATATTTTTTGGAATCTGGTCTGCAACACCGGGACCGCATACTTAGTTATCTCTTACGGTTACTGCGAGGTCTTCCCAAAGCTGTTTGGTTGGATGAGATTAGATGCTCTTCTACCGACCGTGTCCCAGTCGCAGAACGTTTTAGTTTTTGTTTGAACACATTGTTCAGTGATATTGCAGCAAGATGCGAGCCCGCGCGGGAGGAGATTATTGCTACTCAAGTAGAAATATTAGCAGTTTTAACAAATTTAATCAGGGGATACAGAGATCAAAATGGGAGCAGAGGAATGCAAGCAAAGCGTGAGTATAATTACAAAAGAAATAAATTTATTTAAGTCTAGGAATGCATAAATATTTATAACGTTGTTATTTAATTCGACGCGCATCTGGAAATATATTATTCTTTGTTCTAGTGTCATTGTGTAAAAGTATAGTTCCAGTATTAATTGGTTTAGCACGTTCTATGGGTCGCTTTGCCTGTACAGAACCACCGCTTCTTTGTCGTATTTTCCCGAGGCCAGAGGCACCGCTTACAGCATCAAGCTCAGAAACACGTCTAACATCGGATAAGAAACAACATTGTTTCTCTAATTTCCGGCCAATTATTCCACGATCCTTAAGTGGTAATCTAAATCCTCATCCAGCTATAGACAACACACCAAATCTGTTAACCGCTGATCATGAATTACCCTATGCTAAACGACCTTCATTGCAATCATACTCTTCAGTACCTTATGATCCAGCTGTGTACTTCTTTAGTCGATACGGATCAAGTTTTAACCAGTTTCCTCAGATGCGATGTAATGAAAGTCCCGAGAGGAGGGCTGGGATGCAATTTAGTGTGGTGCATCTTCAAAGTGTCCTAGCTCTAGCAAAGAAACTGCTTACTAAAGAAATTTTAACATTTCTGGATGAAGAAGCTCAACAAGTTAGTCTTCTTTCTTGTATTACAAGCTTTTAATAATTATTTTACTAAAATATTTATGTTCCGTTCAGATATATAATTCTGGTCAAGTGCAAATATTCCCCTATCGCACGTTCAATGAAACAATGAATCTAGTGATGGTTGCACTTCTACGAGAATTGTTGCAAAATCAACGTGATTTACCTACTCCTTTTACGAAGGATGTACAGGAGTTCGTGAAAGGTCTTTTCTTATCGGGTCAAACGGAATTGCAATCACGTCAGCATGACGCAAGCGAAAGGGAAGATATGGACACGAATTTTCGTACTGTAAATAGGTTTAAAGTAAACGTGATGGCTAACTCTGCTTGCGTCGATCTCCTAGTATGGGCAATCGGCGATGAAACTGGTAAGGAAAAATAAAATTACAAAACAAGACCTCTATCTACATAGGGCTCTACATTCACTTTTAGTAGTTCTGTCTAGCACAATAAAATAGTTTCATTGAAATGTTTCGCCGTTACTGGGAAGTATAGGTTTGTTACGTTATTTTTACAGTGAGAGACCAGTATGATTTATCTGCACTATTTGCAGATATCAGTTCAATGCTGATCGGCGAGGGTATTAGAATTTAGATTGTGTCGTATTTCGATTGTTTGCCCTGTGTCTAAAATAACTTTCGATAGTTTTCACTAACGAATATACCCATTGATATTGTTGGCTTCGTTTACATTCCGTTGGCTGCAAGTTTCTTATTTCACTCTAACCATTCTTATAATTCGTTAATATATACAAACAAGTAATAAAATATCATTTATTTTTTGTGCATTTCTCATCCCTTCAAAACTCTTCGAATTAACATTTATTATATTCACGAAGCACTGTGTGTATACTATAAAGGTTTTAAATTCGATCTACGCAAATGCGATTTTTTACAGGTGCTGATAGTTTATGTGGTCGTCTAGTTGAAAAAATCAATTCCAATCATGGACCAAAACTGGTGCTAGCTCACATGCCTTTATTAATGGTATGCCTTGAAGGATTGGGAAAATTAGCGCAGAAGTTTCCTAATATAGCCAGTACTTCTATTTATTATCTACGGGATTTTTTGGTGGTGCCATCGCCAATTCTTCTCAAACTCCATCGACAGCATAATGGAAAAGGTTGCTGAAATTAATCTTTTTGCAAAATACTATTTCGTGCACAATATCAACGAATATTAATGTTTCTTTTGAAGGAAAAGATATGCATGATCCGAAGCAGACAACATCGTCTATACAAACGGCTTTTGAAAAGTTACGTGATGCAGCTATTGGCAATCTCTGTATTGCTTTGGAGGCTGCACATTCTGTAAATCCAGATTGTGTACCGGCTTTAGTTGCCAGTGTCTCGAACAGACTATTCGCTGCTGATAAATGTGATGGGTATAGTTTTATATATATACATATACATATATATATACATATATATATATATATATATATACATAATTTAACTCGTGAGTTTTAACACGTTGCCTGCGTAATTAAAACAATTTATTTAATGACACACAATCAAACTTTTATCCCTTTTGCCAGTCTAGGCAGATACTAGTAGCAGCCAACGTATTAATTAACTCCGTTAAAGATTTCTGTATTAGGTTTTATGATTTTTGATTTATTTTTAATATTTTTAGCGATTCTGACGAGAGATCAAATAGTGAGTTAATTTCCAAAAACATAGTAATCATGTTGGGACATGTTGCCGTTGCGTTGAAAGACACACCAAAGACTATGCGCACGATATTCCCATTTTTTCAGCAATTATTTTGCCGTACGCCGAGCGATCTTGATTTTCTAATCGTCGATCAGTTAGGATGCATGATAATCGCAAAATGCGAGTCAAAGGTTGAGTTTTGAATTTATGACGAAAGACGACTGCACTAATTGAAATGATACTCCTATATGATCACTGTACAACAAGCGAACATATTTTTTCTTTCTTTTTTTCAGATTTACGAAGGGATAATGCAAATGTTCTCTATGTCGCTAGGCTCAAGTACTGCTACGTACGCCGCAAACGACGATCGTAAACAGTATTGTCACGTAGCTAAAGCAGTTACGAACGCTCTTGCAAATATAGCAGCTAATTTGCAAGGTGAAACAGACTTGGACGATTTGTTGCTTCATTTGCTTGAGGTTTTCGTTCAGCTAGGATTGGAGGGTAAACGTGCCAGTGACAAAGTATCGAGCAATGTTACTGCCACGGTAATTAAACATATCAATTAGAATCATGAAGACGGACTTCTACGGTTCTCAATCGTAATTTTCATATTTCTTACTAGAAAGCAGCAAGATGTGCAGGAAATTTGGGTGTACTTATCCCAGTAATTGCTATATTGGTACGTCGGTTACCGCCAATCCGACATCCCCAGAAGAGGCTTCTAAAACTCTTCAAAGATTTCTGGCTTTATTGCGTTGTAATGGGATTTGCTGGCGATCAAGCATCGAGATTATGGCCTGCCGAGTGGTATGAAGGAGTCAAGGAAATTGCTGTAAAATCACCTTATCTCATTTCACAGACCAGTGCTCGCCTTGAAATGAGAGAATTGCAATATACTTCAGTTGTTCGTAACGACAGCGTTTCATTAAATGAATTACAAGAATTGCGAAGCCAAATACTAAAACTGACTACTAGGTAAATATTTTTCAATGGCCCGAAACGATTTATCCTTTATTGAATATAGTACACAAGTAGATTTTATAATAAGCATGATATTTTTCTGCAGAACCAATGACATATCCCAATATGTAACAAAATTACAATTTGCTCAGTGCACGTATTTGTTATCTGTTTACTGGTTGGAGACATTAAGGGTGGCAAACAACCCTGATCCGAGTTTGCAGCCAATCATGGAATATTTGTGCGATACCGATTTACAAAAAGAAAAGAGTGGCATGTGGCAGTGCATATGCTGCGTTGCTGATTCCGTTTTTGTGAAATTTAAAGATGTAATGCAGCGAAAACCGAAAGATGAGAGACGGGAGAGGGAACTCGAAAACCATGCTCAATTTCTTCTGGTGCATTTTAACCATGTACATAAGCAGATTAGACGAATAGCTGATAAATATCTCAGTGCTTTAGTAGATGCGTTCCCGCATCTTCTATGGAATTGCAAGGTGCTTTGGAGTATGTTAGATATATTACAGGTATGTGTCTATATATACATATACGCGTATATATGTATTGCACCGCCGTCTTCGATCGAGCTATTGTAATTATTTATTTTTATAGATTTTATCATTTTCTTTACAAATTGACCCGAATGAAGAGACACCAATTTTAAGGATACCCGGTACACCGTACAGTATTCAACTTATGGATACGCTCGATGCAAGAGAGGTATTACGAACTATTATCATGTATGTAAATTAATCAAGAATTAATACCAATTTGTGTGTAACGTAGATTATTGTGAAAGATTTTACCGCAAGATGTAAGGGTATAGTACAAGAAGCTATGAAGTGGGCACCCCAAGCCACCAGATCGCATTTACAAGAATATGTCAACCAAATACCATCCTCGGGAATGAAACACCATTCTGGCCTATGTTTATCCACAGATTCGGTCCTTGAATTTGTGGATCTCGCAGTACCTCAATCAAATCTGCCGAATGTAAAATTGTTTCATGTAGTATTGAATTTCTTTAAACGTTTTGATATTACGTAATACTTCGTTCATAGACTAATTCATTGGACAAACGACCCCGTGGTCCAAAAGGAGCTAGCGCATGGCTTTTGTCAATGATGTCTACGCGGTCACGATATGCTGGAGAAATAGCGGGAATGCTCTCTTTAGCGGAAACAGAATTCTCAACTACAGAAATATCTTTCGAAGAGAGTAGAAACAAAGTGATCGATCTGTTGATCGATGCCGTTTGGATGGCCTGTCGTTCTCGTAACGATGTCAAGCATCGCAGTGCACTTTGGCGTGCTACTGCGTTATTAATCTCAATGCCGGGTAAATTATAATTCCTTGCAATTGACTCTTCTTTCATTCATATTTTCGATTCTTTTATCCGATTTGTATTTTCAGGAATACACAGACGTTTGTTGCATACAGTAGCTTCGTCGCAGATAGAATTATTTACCTCCGCGGTCATGGTCACAGCTGTCGAATGTTGGCAATGGATTCTTACTATTCGTCCGGATTTGAAGTTGCGCTTTTTGCAAGAAATGCTTGTCGCATGGCAATACACTGTCGACAAGAGAATGGGCCTATTTGCACCGGATGAAGAAGAAGTCAGTCCACTGGCGGTATACGAAGGCTGCAAACTAGGCCCAAATCCTCCGCAAATAAAGCCCCACGAAATTTGGGTTACTTTTATTGTGGAACTAATTGAAACTGCTAAGTATTGTTGTCAAGAAACCGTCGACATGATCGTTACACTGCTACACCGGTCGCTGCCAATGACCGTAGGTGCTTCTGGCGAAGAACCTGGAATGAGTCGTCATGTTGCCGCGGTTGGTGTGCGCTTTAAGTTACTCTCTTGTGGACTGCTTCTCCTCCAAGGAGATATTTTGCCAAGGTACCGTGAAGAATGATGTGATAACGTGTGATAAATGAACAAAATCTCGATAACGAATTTCGTTCGCAGGACTTTAAGTAAAAATGTATTACGTGAACGCGTCTACTGTAATTGTTTGGACTATTTCTGTCGGGAACGTCAAGTGCCCACTCAAGAACTCGAACAGCTAAGAGAAGACTTGGTGACGCTTATACGCTTTTGGCAGGTAATTCCATCGTAATTGTTAAAATTTTTGCGTTAGTTTCAATAGGCAGTGCCATTTAAGGGAACTCTTCTTTAATATGATAGCGTATTTTTTCAATCGCTAGTTCTATTTTTAGATATTTGTAAGATCTACTTCATCTAGTTTATTTCCGACAGGTCATGCACAGTGACAAAAAGTATTTGGTAATGACTGGAAATGAGGGCGAATTTGAGATGTTAACGCCTCAGTATACAACTGGCAGTTTTGTGCATAGCGAGACAATGGTCTCTTTGAATACAGGTTTAGGTTCAACGGGTAGCGAATATTCGAAACCGTCGTCAAGCGTATGGATTAATACGGTACCAATGTCAACCAGTACCAATACTCTCGGTAAACGCAGTAACCGTAGTAAGCGTGTTATGAATGCCAATGTTTTTGTAAAAGATTACATTAAGAAAAGGAACCTGATTTTGGAATTGCTAGCAGTCGAAATAGAAATGCTACTGGTAAATCTGATTTTATACAACTGGATACATAGAGTTAAAAAGAAAATCCACCTGCGGTTTTATTTTATATACATATTTCACGATGTGTATTAATATACACAGGTTTGGAGAAATCCTAGCGGAAGGCAGGATCTTGCACTTCCAGGTGAATCAAGTATCGCAGAATGGCGTGCTAAGGGAATGAACGATAAATGGCGCGAGTATACGCGTCTTGCATGGGAAATCAGTCCTGTTCTTGCAGTATTTTTACCAGTCCGACTAAAAAATTCGGAAATCATTATTAAAGAAGTGTGCGGGTTGGTTCGTTTGAAACCAGTGCCAGTCATGCATATCCCAGAAGCTCTGCAGTATCTCGTCACCACAGATACATTACTCAATGACGTACCCGAAGTAAAATACTATTAAAATCTGATGAATAATCTCAATATTTTCAAATAGTTCCATGTTATTATGTGTATGCGTTTGTATTTCAGTTGGTATACATGTTGACGTGGGAAAGAGTGTCGCCTATTCAAGCACTGGCATACTTCTCTCGCCAATTCCCTCATCATCCGATCTCGGCACAGTATGCAGTAGAGGTGTTAAGCAGTTATCCCGCTGATGCTGTACTTTTCTACATACCTCAACTTGTGCAAGCAGTGCGCCACGATAGCATGGGCTATGTAATAGAATTTATTAAAAAGATTTCTAAACGTTCACAGGTATGCGATCGGAAATTGTCTTTGTATTAATTAATCAATATTTTATTTCAAATTTTGCATTTCTTAATCTCGCGCAGGTAGTGGCGCACCAGTTAATTTGGAACATGCATACAAATATGTATATCGACGAGGATAAACAAATTAAAGACCCAGTCCTCTTTGACGTGCTAGACTCTTTGGTGAAGAGTATTTTGAGTTCGCTGTCGGGACAAGCGAAACAGTTTTATGAAAGAGAATTCGATTTCTTTGAAAAGATTACAAATATATCTGGCGACATAAGGCCGTACCCGAAGGGTCCTGAACGAAAGGCGGCCTGCTTAAAAGCTTTGTCCAAAATCAAGGTACAACCTGGTTGCTATTTACCTTCGAATCCCGAAGCCATGGTTCTCGACATCGATTATGAAAGTGGAACTCCTATGCAGAGGTAAGCGACACACGACTTGATTTCTGTATTATTGCAGTCGTTCTCTAATCTCATCGTTATACTATTCCCAGTGCCGCAAAAGCACCATTTTTGGCGCGTTTCAAAGTACAAAAGTATGGAATCAATGAGTTAGAAAACATAGCGTTAGGAGTCTCGAACGGGAAAGCAGACATAAAGAAAGAACCAGAAAAAGAGGCATGGCAAGCGGCCATCTTCAAAGTTGGTGACGATGTTAGACAGGATATGTTAGCCTTACAAGTGATCAGTATTTTCAAGAATATATTCCAGAAAGTTGGACTGAATCTATTTTTGTTCCCGTATAGAGTAGTGGCAACAGCGCCTGGGGTAATTTATATATATTTTTGAAACGTTATTCTGCATCGCTGCTTAACAAACGACTCTCTGATAAGAAACATTGTAACATGTTTCAGTGTGGTGTCATAGAATGTGTACCAAATGCGACGTCACGCGATCAATTAGGTCGTACTACAGATATCGATATGTATCAATATTTTATTAAACGTTATGGAGATGAAACGAAAAAAGAATTTCAAAATGTGCGTCGCAACTTTGTTAAATCTATGGCTGCTTATAGCGTCATTACGTATCTCTTGCAAATCAAGGATCGCCACAATGGCAACATTATGCTGGACACGGAAGGTCATATTATACATATCGATTTTGGATTCATGTTTGAAAGTTCACCAGGTGGTAATCTGGGCTTCGAGCCTGATATTAAGTTGACCGATGAAATGGTGCTTGTTATGGGAGGAAAAATGGAGGCCGCGCCCTTCCGGTGGTTTATGGAGCTGTGCGTACAGGCTTTCCTAGCAGTGAGGTAATTGCTTTTATAATATATGAAACTTTTGTGTCGATAATGTTAAAAAGCTGTTATATGTGTAATATTGTTTTCCCTTCGTAGGCCGTACCAAGATGCAATCATTTCTTTAGTTTCTCTTATGCTTGACACGGGTCTGCCCTGTTTCCGTGGACAAACGATAAAATTATTGCGTAGCAGATTCGTGCCTACGGCCATTGATCGCGAAGCTGCGGCCTTTATGCTCAATGTAATACGTAGCAGCTACCTCAATTTCCGTACAAAAACTTACGACATGATACAGTATTATCAGAATCAAATTCCTTATTAAATTATATGTTGTTCGACAGATTTCCGTTGTCGATTGTTCGTCCACAACGGAGAAATTCATTGTTTCTGCAAAGAATTGTTAAACGAGTACACCGTGTATTATATTGTTAGATATAGCAGTACTTAATCTGCTATTTGTACAAACCTCTCAGTGTCAATGTTACAACCTAAACTCACCGAAATTTTATGGAAGCATTGTGCTCTCTGTATGTATGTAATAATGTATTATAAACCCAACAAATTATTGTATACGCCTGCCGATCGCAGGAGATGTGTATATGAAAACATTCCTCTGTTTATTATTTATGCACTGTTATTGATTAAACATTAAACGGGAGAATTACTTTAAAACGAAATGTTTACTTTATTTACATGAAAGTCTGATACCTCTGTGTGTATATACCTCTTATTTAACAACTATTTATTACATATTCTGTCTATACCATAACTAACATTCAATGAATACCTTTTTATATTCATGCATTCTCAGTGAATAGGTTGACATTTCCCTGGTATGAATCTTTTAGATTCGGCGTCAGATTCTTGTCTAAAATCAATTTAGGGATTATTAATGAACAAAGTGCTATGAATTATTTTAAATATTTGGCAAATTATTTAAATTCAGAAAGCCTTCTGAGCATAAAAAATTTAGATAATTACGTCGATTTGATTTGTTTTTGTATGGTTATATCAATGGGTGGTTGAACAAGCCTTCTAGCGTCGCGTGTATAGTAATATACTTTGGAAGTTTTGTGATATGGCCCACCAGGTATAGTAGGGGGAGGTTGTGTGCGCGCTGCGACAGCATCTGCGAACCTTAGCGATTCTACAACAGGTTTCTGAAATATGAATGCTTACTCGAGTTAGTTGTTCCTATTTTTACTAATATTGACATAATTGTGTACAGTTTTCTTTTCTTTACAAGCCTTATTTATACAAGCCTCCTCAAAATGTGAATGTTTTGGCAGATTGATTTATAATTATAATATCAGTACATAATATTAATATATTTATCGTGCAGTCGACCGAATGGCAAGATCTCACGAGTAATTTTTTAATACAAAGTTAATATTCTCGAAAGATATAAACATTAATAGACTTTAATTTTTTATTGCAATATATGTAAGTTTTTTGAAACTTACACACTTACTCTGTTTACACTTGCGCCAGAAAAATATTGCTAAATAATCGACAATTTTTGTCAGGGTCTTACTACGAGAAAAGAATTTGCGAAATAATCTGATATCTATGGAGTAATAAACGATCTGTAATATTGACAAAAAATTTTTCATAAAAATATCGGTATTAATTTAAAAGTACACATAACCTGAAACGAAACAATATAGGATGTAACTTGACGTCAATTGAAGTTCTTAAACATCATTATGTTATTTTTATAAATGATACTTTACGAAATTAATATATAAGAAATGTTGTCAACATAATTGTGTAATAAAAATACAGAACGTTACGTAATTACTAGAAAAATGAACAATATATAGATTATAGGTTACCGATTAAACATACAAGAAACTATGTACTTACACCTCGCAGAAAATTTCGAAATATACTTATTGCAGGTGTTACAGTTCGTTTTTCAACACCTCCTGGCATTTTTTTAATTATTTAATTAATCACTTGACAGTAAACAGATCCCAGAATTAATTATGAACCACTATGAACTCTAAAATCGAACGCTGTCAATGCAATGAAATCGCAACTTCGACACTCGAGATAACTGAGTAATCGATAATCGCTTGACTCCACTTAATGTCCACTCGACCACACACAGTCCAGCGTATTTGCGAACGTGTTGTGAAACGACGATTATTTCTACAATTATTAAAATTTTCGAAAGGGACCGTTATTATTAAATAAAAGAGCCTGAGGAACACAGGAGATCGGTTGTTCTGGAGTTTTAATTTCGTACCATACTTTCACATTCAGGCGAGATTTGGGGCTGTAAACCGCAGGATCTGACGGTCCCGAGATCGTAAAAAGGCACGGACAAAGAGTTCCCGTAAGTATCGTTAATCGTTTTAATGCTGGTCTAGGTACCTACTTTCTTCTCCCGAATCGTTATTTCATAGCATTCCGATTGAAAATCTGTTTTTTCAAACAGAAAGTCTGCATGTTTATTACATGATGAAAATTATTTTGATCACAAATCGATTCGAATAATTGTACAATACCCTAATAAATAGACGGACAAATTGTCAATTTGTATGCTACGGAAATAATGGTTCCGGAGAAGAAAGTAGGCATTTAAGACCGGCAATAAAATGATACTCGATAATTGCACAGAGATTAGCGATCCCGAAGCCGAAAAGGTCTATCGTGTGCCCGCAGGTATCGAGAGAATCCTTAGAATTTGCTGTACCTAGTCCAGCAATAAAACGATTAACGGATACCCGTGGAACCGCCAGGCCGGGCGGTTCACAACCATAAATCACGAAGTGCGCAGTAACGATCTGTGCAGGATTAAAGTGATCGTGGGGTTTCCCCTAGCCATATATAAACGTAGCAAGTTTCAAACTCTCTTAATTACTCGCCACTTTCTCTCTTCGTTTAGAACTGTGAGGGCAGCATCGTTTAGCTGTGAAGCGTCAACCAATCTCAGAGAAGAAGCAGTTCTATCGGTTACCCCTATTTTGGCGTATATAGCGAGGCACCACTGTAGATCGCACACAGTGAGTTGAAACTTCAGAGTGAACAGTTCTTTTGGCCGTGACATAGCTACTGGTGAGTACGCCTTACGTTCTGTGCAATTTTATATTTCGTAAATAATATTATATATTATTGGTTACTTCGCACGAGTAACTTCCTTTTTGAATAATTTCTTGAAATATTAATATTTTTCGTTAAAAATGTGGTTATATTGAAGTGTTAAATATGTTTTCTTGATAACACACGTGTTAGTATTAAATCATCCATCTTTAATTTCACAGTCAATCTTTGTACTTTCCTTATTCTCATAGAGGTATTGAATAACTCTTGAAATGATTTTAAAATTACATTTTATATATTTTAGATTTAACTTTTATCGTGATATATATATATATATCTATAATATCTTAAAGAATATTCAAATTTTATTCTTCGTGTTACGGAAATTCTCATTGCATTAAAGAAACTATTGTGTTCGTATACGTTTAAAATGTTGAAAATTATAAATTGATAATCGCAAAATTGAAAGGCAAAGTATTACAAATATTGGAAATTCATTAAATAGTGATTAACGAAGATATGAACGTACAATGACAGATAGAAAAAGAAAACAATTTTTTGTAATACAGTTTCCCATCGGTAGACAAATATTGAATCTTTGGGTTACTTGATATATTCTATACAAAATTAGAGATTACAAAAATATCTTGTAATGATAGAATTATTTACCTTGTCAGAAACAGATGGACAAAAGAAAAATTTTTTTTTAAATATATGATAAATTTGATAAGGGCTCAGACAACAATATTATATAAAAACAAAGGGGTAAAGTGAAGGAATTTAAGACTCGATCAACTAAATTTGGTGATTATCCAATCTTCTACGTAAGGTGTGGCATGCTTTGGTTAGCTAGACATTATGCTGCATGTACAGTATAGAGTTGATGAGAAGGCATATCATCTGTATCCACATCTGTTATAAGCGTCTTCTTATCACCTTCGAATAGTACGGACAGTTTTGTATTTGGTTCATCGATGATACTTGGTAGCAGAACGTATTATAAAAATGCAAGTGCTAATGTAAATTTATATTACAACTCGCTGTTAATTGTGATAATTCTATATATTCAAGGGCAAGATTAAATATTTAATATTTATATAATGTTTGGTTATTTATATAAACTTAAAAATACTTTACAATCGTTGGAATGAAAAATTTATTGTACACAGTCGGTAACAATATAAAGTTATAGACAAATACAGTTAAAAGTACAAATAAAGTTATCACATTTTGATATCATACAAGTTTATCGTTGTTATCAGATTATGTACAATGTAATTCATTGTAAAATTTGTCATGTTATCATTTTTGTGTATCACTGTATACTAATTAACTGTTTTCATTTGTAGAGCAAAGATGCAGTTACACATCAGAGGTGAACACACGACTGTTGTCGAGTCGCATGAAAATGAGACTATTGCAGAAATAAAGGTATGGTAAAAAAATTGAATTATACTTAAAAATTTCAGAAAAACTGATGGTAGATCAATACATACAGTGGATAAAGAAAAATATTAAACTGTAAGGAATAAAAACTGTTTCAATATTATTCCTTATATATAATTTATACATTTTAAAACGCTTTCAAGCAATTTAAAAATATTTGAAAAAAGTTGTGGAAATATTGCACATTTGATAAATAAATAAATAAATTAATAAATAAATATATATATATATATATATATATATATATATATA